AATTTCTTCTTATTTCTGCAGCTTTGAGCTGATAATGAACATTTGGGGCTTTTCTTGTAAGATCCGGTTTTCCATAACTTTGCAAAGAAAGGTCACGTAGAGTTGGGGAGTTCTCATTTTAATCAGAAATGTGCGGACTACAAGCATGGCTCATTAAGAAAAGCTTTGGTTATTTTGTATAGTTTCTGAAAAGCTGATTTTCCAGAAAACTGGGTCTTCGAAGCTTGAAGAGCAGCTTTGAAAAAGAGAGGGGGCACTTAAAAACGTTCCCTCGTTAGTCTGAAAAGTTTGCTATTGAACACGCTGATAGACCGAACAGTTTTCTAAAATGTATGTATGTAAATATCTTTTGAAAATCTCCGATCAGTTTTGAACCAGATCCAAAATTCGACGAGCTTCATCAAAGTGTCTCTAATTACCCCAGTTGGGATAGACAGAGACACTTCACCGAAATACACGGAATTTTTAGAGGCAAACCTCTGTCGTCTCTCAGGATCCGATTTTGGTATTATAACAATTGACAAAGTTCTTTAAAACGCTAAACTCTATTCCATATGTGAAAATCGCCTAGAACTTATTAGAAGTAATCACTATTCTATATCACGCTTTACGTTTTAAATGCTAAAGGTTCGCAATCTAATTCTTCGGACTCCTAGAGCCATCGAATGTTAAAGAAAACATTGAACTTATTAGATTCTTCGAAATTTTTTCTATCGGACAGAAAATGTTGGAGAAAAAAGAATGAGATTTGACCAACATATCGATTAAATACATTGAAAGACTATATGATTTCTCGGAAAACCACGTCAGTTTAAGGCACAAAAGCTTTTTTTGAACGATAATCTTATCGAACAGACTTTCATCTTCAAGATAAGCGTTCATACTACTTCCACTAGCGCTTTATGTGCAAATTATCACAAAAACAGTGTTTTATCTCCTTTTCTTCCTTTTGATTTGCACTGCCTGGACGACATTGTCCTAGTATCTCCTTGGCACATACAAATCCAAGGACATGTGCACTTTTAAAAGTCTGTTTTATAAGATGTCACATATGTGATTCAATTTAGTGTTTTAAAGAACGTTCCCAGGCAGACGAAAATTTCTCTATGACGACATCCGTAACCTGTCCCGAAAGTTCTGAATACCATTCCTAACTAGTTTGAAAACAAAGTACTAGTTGCTGGCTAGCTTTTAGTTGACTAGTTATTTTGAGAATTGTCATTTTAGTGTAATACCAAAATCGTTATTCTTGAGAGACGACAGAGGTTTGTCTCTGAAAACTCGGTATATTTCAGTGGAGTGTCTCTATTTAGCCACATGCATAAAAATCGGAAACAAACAATTTCATTAATTATTCATTAAAACTCCATATATTTAAATGGCTAAATATGACAATTCACTTTTTTCTGTCAGAAATCTGTAGCGAAGACTATTTTATCACATCTGCAATAAATACGTAAATAATACATTTTGAACCATCTTTTATTTTATAATATTCTACTTTCACCATGGTAATGTTTAAAAAGCAATCATCTTTTTTCGGATGGTAAAAGATCCTGTTCTTTTGTAGCAAACTGGAAATCAGTTCCCATTTAAACGAATAGAACTGAAACTGTATCATCCTACTGGGAAGTATATTTTTGACTAATAGTGTACCTTGTTCGTTCTTGCTCAGCTAAAATGACAATTCAAAAAAAGTCTGTATTCATTTTTTTGACTACTTCAAGTATGTGTTTTATTTTGTCTACAGAGAAAAGAAAAAGAGTGAGTTCCGTACACTAATATGACAGAAAAGAGGAAAAAAAAAACATTATTTTGCATTTATTTTCATTTATGTTCTGTATAGAGAAAAATATGTTCGTGACAAATTTTATGCCAATATTGTTTAAACAAAGGCAATGTAAGAGTTCTTAATAAGTGTCCATTGAATCCCTAAACGATATTTCATTGAAGGATTCAAGGTTTAGTTTAAAATATGTTATCCTACAAATACCATAATTTGCAGTTTTTTACTAGATAGATCTCTTTGTCTCAGTTAAGATACATACCAACAGTTCTGTTAAACGTGCGATGGTAAAATAATGTGTCTGAATCATCATCTTTCGTTCAAGGCTAAACAGAAAAGAAAGAAAAAAGTAAGCAAAAAATCATTAAAAATGCAGCGGCGTCATAGTACTAACAATAAATGGAAAAGAATGAAAATTTGAGTAATAGAAAGAAAAGAGTGTAATTCTATGTGAAATGAAGCCAATAAATGATAGATAGCTCTATTATGGTAGCTAGTATAACAACATCCGTTCTCAGACGATTTCAAGAACGTGTTTCAACTTCTATTTAGTGAATGGATATGTTGTGCTTGATATCACGTGAGTTGTATAAAATTTATCCAAGTCTTCTCTTCAATTAACTTTCTTTTTTAGCTACAGAAGGTGGTGATAATGAAGAATGTATTATTCATGAGACACCTTCATTTCCCTATTGTCTAACAAGAAATTTAATACTAATTCAATGGATGTTAACAATATTGATCTGTGCATCAGAAATTGGAAATTTTATTCACGGATTTATTTGGTTAGGGGTGGGGATTTGGATGACTTTACCAGCGATAGTAGCCGTTGCGTTAACAACAATATTTTGTAAGTACAGTCAAAGTAGAACTGTGTTATCAAAAGCACAGAAGTTTGTTTCAATAAATTTAGTGAAAGAAATAGTTGAATATTTTATTCCTGTACAAAAAGTCTACTTAAAAACTAAATCTAAACGTTTCGACTTATAACATTCTTCGTTCTCACACATGAGAGGAAATTAATAATAATTAAAAGAATAGAACAAATCAGCCAAGAAAATGGTAAAACTACATCTAAATTAGTACTAAATATTACTGTAGAAATCATTATCTCCAATTCTTATCTTCTCATAAAGGGTATCCCCCCCTCTTTTTTGCAGAAAAGTTGTCATTTTGAGCTGAACATAGTCTAGTGTAGAGAAAAGTCTGGGCTATAAAATGAGCCCACTTCTAGCTCTCCATGACCTTTCTTTGAAAACATTATGAAGTTTTTAAGTTTTTCCTTCAAAGCCTAGAAAATCTCAACTTTTTAGGTTCGTAAACTTTTCTCTCCTTTCCTGTATATTCAAAATGTTTTCTTATATATAGCATGATAGAAGAAAGCGTACTCTTCATAATGAGATGTTTTCCAGAAGCCTCCGATGAGTTTTCTTAGAGATATAAATACAGTCGCAAATGCCCTGAAAAACAGAGCTCTGTGCAATAGTCTCTTCAATTGGCACACATTACGACCCCTCGAAAAAATGGTCCGATCGAGCTCAAAATTTTACCACACATACTTCAGACCCTATCTCAGATTCGCTTTTTTTAGCGTTTTCGACTTCAACTTTCCGCGTGAGAAGGTTTTCAAAATGAAAAATCGTTATTTTATATGAGATTTTCAGTATTTTTCGTATATCTCGAGAAGGAAAGCATATTTTTCAAAAAGAGAAAAACGAACCTGGATCTGAAGTATCTGTGGTAAAATGTTGACCTCGATCGGACCATTTTTTCGAGGGGTCGTAATGTGTGCCAATGAAAACTGGAGTTTTCCAGAAAATCCATAGAGGAACACGTCAGAAAATTCTGGGTAAAATACATCTATTTTCTTTTTCGATGTTCTGTCTCTGGTATAACTTAGAATCCGATCCAACATTGGCTTCCCTAGTTCCAAAAGGGTAAAAAAGAGGGGTTTCACTAAAAAACCCTTAATATAATCAGGTCTCTTTGTCTGACGGAGAAAGTAGTTTGTTGTTGAGTATGCAACGATCAAAATCCTACGATTTATCAGCATAATTATCTCCACACGCGGCTTTAGTGCCAAAAAATAGCATTAAGCGGCTTTACTCCATATGCTACCCGATTACTATCGTTTTTTTTCATCTCTTTTCGCTTTGATAATAAGTTTTTCAAAACTCCTCGAGTGTTGTACAAATTTTTGAATATTATGTTTAGCTAATGTAGACTAAGATCCATGCTTAACAACAAATAACTTTTTCTCTCAGACCTGATTATGTTAATGAGAAGATACAGAAATAATAGTGTCTGAAATATTTAGTACTGATTTAGATGTAGGTTTCTCATTTTATTGGTTGATTTGTTCTGTTCTTTTAATTATTATTAATTTCTTCTGATGTTTCTATCGAGGAAGCCTGCCAAGAACTTAATTATTTAGCTAGTTCTTTTACTAAAATCATAACCCGTATCAAAACTAGTCATGAGTAGCTTCAATGAATATAATTCGTGTTTAGCATTTGGAAGAAATCGTCAAACCAAATATTGGTTAAAATTGAGTTGGATTGCGAGTCGTTTATCGCTGTTGTTCTTATGTGTCAAAATTGGTTGCGATATTTTTGTTCTTCTAAAACATCGTGATCCAATATCGAATTATGATTTTAATCAATTGTCCTCGGCTACATCATCATTATGGCGAACACGCGTCATTGATCGATTAACATTATCAATATTTTTAACGTTATCTCAATTTGTTTATTTACTTCTCTATTGTTGTCGATTTAGATACTTATATAAAAATGAACCAATTACTGCCATAGTTAACTAAACTTTTGTAAAAATACAACATTTTCTATTATTTTACGAAAATGAAAGTAGAAACTGCTGTATTATTTTCGTGTATTCAAGAGCCATTTAAAACATCTCGAATGGAATGTGAGACGTTCAGCGCGTTTATTAAACATTTTTTTAATTCTGTATTTTTTATGGGATCGTTTTGGTATTCGTGTGTCCAAGAGTCAGGGCCTTCCATTCGTGAAACATTATCTGATTTCACTAAATAAACTACCTTCAGATAGACATATCTTGGTTCTTAGAACCAGGAGAGCATAAAAATCAATTACTTCGAGGATAATTAGGCAAAAATGAATTAGATTTAGTCGAAAAATTATGATTCAGGGTTCTTCAGCAGAATCTCTAGAAATCCCGAAAGAGAAAAACAAACATGTTTGTTTTTATGTTTGTTTTTCCCATATAGTTACACGCATATGCAGTATGAGCGTGTGCCTATCAGATTTCCCTTAGTCAAAACCCTCTAAGATTGTCTGAGCGAGTTCTTTTTTGTTCTAGATTTTCAAAGAATATTTTACTTTTAGGATGAGCAAAGTATTTTGTGTTTTTCTCGATAGTATTTTTTCGCTTGACTAAGCATATGGGATTGCTATTTTTGATTTTTGCTTTCATTTTTTCTAAATTTTAGTTTTCAAAAAACCTTTTGGAGTACTACTTTTGTTTTCACAAGTAAAACGCTCTCCTCTCCTGATAAAAATGAAGAAAGATTCTAAAAATCCAACTCAACTACGTCATTCCTGTGGCAATTTAAAAATTATCCCAAACTCTGCAGTTCTTGATTCAGTGGAGAAATCCTTAGTTGTCTTATACAAACGTTGTCAACCTCCTCCTGTAGTAGCTACTCCGCCCCCAATTCTAAAAACAAATTCAAAACTGCTTAAATACAACACACCAGCGAAAATGTTACACTTCTGTGAAACATACCAAACAACGTTGACAAATTACTCATCCAAAAACTCTCAAATTCTAAAACCATTTCATCACAATCAGCTAAAGCACTAGAATGTCTGAATCGTAATCAATAAGACTTTTACCTTCCAGATAGTTTTCGGAGAAGAAAACTGCTACTGTCCATGATGTTTTCGGTTCCAAGTCAGCGATAAGAAATTATTCAACAAAACTTATTCTTTTTTCTATTCGAGTATTTAAGCAGACCTTTTAAAACCTTAACTGTAAAGGGCAAGGACACTTAAAGAAACTTTTAAATCAATTTTACTTCGAATAGTAAGAATGTAGAAAAGTACAACACTTTTGCAGATTTGAACCTGCGAGACAGCAATACTTTTCTGCTTCTCGTATTTTCTGGAAAAAAAAGCATTTTTGAGAGTTGTATCTCGGATATAAAATGTGGCAAATTTAATTTTCTAGATTTTACGCGTTGGGACCAGATTTTCAGAAATCGTTCTTCATGGTGAAAACTGGTATTTTTAGTTTTTCACCATGAAGATCGATTCGTATAGCCCACCAGATAAAATTGAGCCCACCAGATAAAATTTAGAAAATTAAATTTGCCACATTTTATGTTCGAGATACAACTCTCGAAAATGCTTTTTGCAGGCAGAAAACGCCAACCTCTAAATATCTTCTCAATGTTTTCATCACTTATCAATTAAAAAAGTTTTTCAACCACAAGTACACGTTCGTGGTACATCGGTGTATCAGTGACTCCGGTTATGCATATATAAACGAAGTATTTTGGCAGCCGCAAATAAGAGACTTTTTGAACTTTCAGACTGAGTACATTCTATACTACTGTCCTTCTGTGCTAATTCCACAATGAAAATAAAATGGGATTTCTCCACATATTTCGACTAGATGCTGTCTCTCTTCCAGATAAAGAAAATAAAACCTTGAGTTAACGAATTTAAAAACAAAACGGTGAGACTTCTATCTATTATTCGATCGCCTGTTTCAGTCAAAACATATTGTCATGAAAGAAAATTTAAGACTGTTTCATTGAAACTGTATACACAATGCAAGTATTATCCCTAGACATCGATTCTTATATAAGAATCGATACCAGAAACGTCTAAGTCTCTTAGCAGTGTCTTACAAGATTCTTATCGGAATCTTATCAGTTTCTTATATAAGATTACTTAAGATTTCCCATCGACAGTCGTAAGTGTCTTATAAGAATCTTATAAGAGGTTCGTAAGATATGCATAAGAAGTACCAAAAATTCTTATGAAGTTTTCCAGCCAATAGAAGCAACTTACTCATAACAGATATAAGCTGCCTTCTAGTAAATAAGGATAACATAAGAATTTCTGGTACGTCTTATGAATTTCTTGTGAAATCTTATAAGATTCTTATAAGACATTTACGACTGTCGATGGGTAATCTTAACCAATCTTATACAAGAAACTGGTAAGATTCCGATAAGAATCTTATCAGTTTTATCAAAAAAAATTTGTCTAGAGATCATGCTGTCAGTGTACAACTTGTTGGAGGTGTGTCGCACGAGTATAATGGCCATTGTGACATATGAAAATTTTTTCTCGCAATAGTCAAAGAAACATGTATGTGTCTTTATAGTTTTTAGGCATATTTTAAAGAAAATAATGAATACTTGTTATAAGCTTAGAATGATCTAACACAACAAGCGTCATTAGAGATAACCCCTCAATAGGTTTAAAAAATCTCAAAGTCTCTTATAGTCTAGTGTATATAGTAAGGAACAGCAAAGGATCTCGATTAATCCAATGGATTCTACGCATTGAAACTACTTGATAATTAAAACTAGTAGTATAGCAGTGTTGCGGTGAACTATTCTGGATACGTCGACGACAGAAGATTAAATTCTTAATAAACAAGATTAAGTTTAAAAAAGCTTATCGGCGTTGCTTCTGTGAAGCAAAAATGTGAAAACTTCCAAGTGAACTTCGTGCACCTAATAAGAATATATATAATTGTAAACAGTTTTAAGATGCTGTAAACTAATTTCTAAGATGTTATAAACCCCAAATTAAGATTTTGTAAACAAAATGGAATTTTAAACTGCCTCATCTCATACCTAAACTTTATACTTCAAACTTCCATTTCCTTTCGTAAATTGGACATGTCCTTGGAAGTTTTCACAAAAACAGAAAATTCAAGGCACTATTTAGGAAACAGTTAGGTCTCCCACGAAAATTGTTATAAGTCGTATATAACGAGTTAATCAGAGCCTCGAAACCTCTCATTTTCTGAAGAAATGTTTGGGCTACAATCCTATGTGCGTAGAAAAATTTCAATGTTAACTGTGATATAAATATGAGCATTGTAAAATGCACTAAATTCAGAAAAAAAATGTTCGAGCAGGTTTTTTTCTAACTTTAGTGCATTCTAGAATGCTTACATTTTGCTAGTAATAACTTCAAATTTAATTGCCCAAGCAAAAGAAAAAATCGATAAGCTAGCTCAACCTAGGTAAAGCGGTACATTTAGCTAGCTACTATCTAACTGGAGCAAATATACCGCTTTACCTAGGTTGAGCTAGCTTATCGACTTTTTCTTTTGCTTGGGTATATATCGACCTAATTCGTTACGAATGACTATGTGTCTTGATAATAGTTAGTGCCTTCGAATTAACTGGTGTCTATCAATCTAGTGTCTGATCTAGACAATACAGACGAAAATGAAGCGACTTCAAAGTGACTTTTCAAGATCTGATCGATATATGGTGTCAAAAAAACAAGTTAAACTTGTTTTTAATTAATTAATTTGTTAATTTTTCGTTTGCAGTACCCTACAAAAATCTAAAATGACTCATTTTTTCTTGTCTTTCAACCAAAAGAAAAAACATAAGAAAAGAAAAATAGAGTAAAGGTATTTTATATATATTAAGGACAAAATTACGCAGAAAAAACGTGCGTTCTGTTTTCACAATAAAATGATGACTTCAGAGGTTGATTATGAGCAACCACTGGTGGCACCCGATGGAAATATTCTCGATCGACCGCAGTCGCTTATCTGGCGAATATTTCATGCTACACATTATATGCTCGGCGGTCTCTTATTCATTACTGGTTCATGCATGTATTTTCCCCATGTTATTAATCTTAACTTTAATTCTTTAAATGTTGGTGGATGGTTATTTACTATAGGATCTACCTTTTTTCTTCTTGCTGATCTACAAGAATGGTTTTATTACCGAATTGGTTGTTGTCTAGATAAAACATATCGACATGCTTATGAGTTGGCTAATCAAGATTTGTTCCATTATCCAAAATCGGATCTACGAGGAAAATATGAGCGAGCAGCAATCGGTCTTAATTTTTTCATGTCAGCTTGTGGCAGCGCTCTTTATCTAGCTGGTTCCATACTCTTTTTACAGATATTTGAAAAAGAATTAGTTGTTGGTGAATGGTTATTTATTGTTGGATCAGCTGTTATTTATTTATCACAAGTATGGAAACTTTATCGTTCTGGTTGCACAAATATAGATGATCGTCATGATCAATCTTTTACAATTAAAAATATTTTAAATGATAAACCTGCATTAGGTATTGATCTATTTGCTGGTTTAGGTGCAATATTTTATTTCATTGGAACAATTTTATTTTTACCAAACTTTAATACATCGCCCTCAGGCTGGACTGAAGAAAGATCATCATGGTTGTTTGTAGCTGGTGGAACATGTTTCACATTAAGTGGTCTATTTCTACAATATAGACATTACTTTACTAGACATTTGTAATAGACGTAGATTATGAAAATAAACTGTAAATTCGCTAACATTATATACTTTAGCATCTAAGAAAGTGATCATTTTAGATATTTAGAAGAAAAGGGGTAGTACTGTGTGATTTTTTTCATGAATTATTTTTCTGAAGTGGCATCCCAAGATTTAAAACTTAAAAGATGATTTGAATGTTTCAAACGAAATAAGACACTTGTTTTCTTCAGAAATTTATGCTTTGTCTCATGTAATCATCAAAGTAGCTAGTAGAATTGTTAGACATAATGGCAACATTCCAGAGAGATGTATGGATGTAATTTCAGACTCGTATCTGATCTGAAACTTGTCTTCTTCTCCGCACCCTCATATCCCTAGGGAAAATCTTTGGTGTTTCAGTACCAGACCCTTGACAGATCCGACAAGGATCCCGCAAGGATTCGCTCTTCTTTCCTAAGGAAACGACTAAATCCTGAAAAAGCGTGTAGCCACGGAATTTCAAGATCTTGACAGGATTCAAAACAAGGTTTTTCAAAGATCCTGCCAAGTTTTTTTCAGGATTTTTAGATATCTTGTGAAAAAAGTTTGCCAGGATCCTTCGAGGATACTGTCCACTAGACTTTCATCTAAGTTTCTCTAAGGATTGTGCCAGGAATCTGCTGAGATTAGCTGGATAAGATTGAGTTAGCATGTACTTACAAGAGCAGAACTTACCAGTATCGTGACAGGACTTGATCAGGATCGTTGCAGGATT